CTAGTATAGTATCGCACCATGATAACCACTGCAAGGAATTATTTTTGGACAAAAAAGCAAAATAAAATAAACATAATAGAAGAATGTAAGGCTACAGGTCTTGAGCATAGGCTTTTCTTTGAAAATCTATGTGTTTCCAAGTCCAGGTAGACTTAATTAACACTGGTGGATGTAGCCATTATGGTTGAGTATTTGTATTCCTTCATGATAGGCACTAACCATCCACTTTGTCTTCAGGTATCCGGCTGGTGGGATCTGGTGCACAAGCCCTACCAATGTTAGGCTGTCATAATTAGCAGCTGCTGTCAGATTTGGATAAGGGAGACCTAGGCTCCAATCTGCATTCTGTATGACACTTGGATATTCACTGTTAGCGTCTACCTCAAAAGGACATTTTAAAGATTCATGGTGAAAAGAAATCGAGAAGCATGCTTGCTGTCCAAAACTCCTTGAATCAAGAGCAAGAAAAATATAATCCTATTCAGGCTGCAGGAAAGGGTTATTTATTTATTTAATTTTTCAACCGTCCTTGCCTTGCTTAGTAACCACTGTTACCATGGTAATGAAAAAGTAACTTAGTGACCAATGCCTGCATTTATGATCTTCGCAGGTCTCTGTCACATGTTCGCCATTAGTAAGTGTTGTCCTATGCCTGACCCTTTTTCCTTCCTCCCCCTCAGAGCAGAGATTGCCTAAACAAGTGATTTCTTCCTGAGCTGCTTTTCTCCACAATGCAGCATGTCCCTAAAAAGTGCTAACTGCAAGTTAATAAGCTCAGCTGTGACCTTGGTCGATTAGAACCCTCCTGCAGCTGCTGCGTGACACTGGGAAGACTAATCAGTTTCACACGAAAGGCTTTTATTTGCCTCCTAAGCGGCAAGTGCACTAGGCAAATAGCCGGCGCTAGCACATTACTTTCGATGTCTATTCCCCACTGTATGCCTGCCTATTCTCCTGTAATTCCTTCCTCTCCAATGAATGTAAATAGAAACATCAATTCTCTCCTTATCCCAGCATTGGGGTGAGCATTCCAAAGGGCAGGGGGGTGGGGGAAAACGGCTATAAGATTTGCCCTTTTACCCAGCTTCCTTTTGAGTTGAGTTCTGGAAACCTTCCCCACTGTTTGGGCTCAACTGGCTATTTGGGGTCATATCCTTCTGATGAAGTGAAATTGTAAGCAGAGTCATGTGATTTTTCACTTAGCAACTGCCTCACTTAATGACTGAATTGCTGGTCCCAGTTGTGGTTGTTTAAATGACTACTTGTATACACCAACCAAGCAGGAATGAGAGCCTCTAGCTCTCCCAACCATGCCTGTGATATAATTTAAAAGGCAGAAATTATTAAGTACAGCACAACTATCTAGTGTGGAGGGCTTTAAACACAAAGCTTTTGTACACACTTTGGCTTTTACGCTAGCCCAAGCCTCTTCTCAATAGTGCTTATATACCTCAATACTTGAGGGACAATATCCAACATTGTATAAATGGACTTTTCTCTGCACCCATCTCAGATCTGTTCCAGAGGATTCCTCCAGCCTTCTAGATCAGATGAGGGGCATCCTGAGTCCCGATTTGGAGAGAGAACTGTCCTTTTGGCTGGAAGGGCAAAGTAGGATATAACTCCAACATTTTATTCTTTATATTTCTATCACTATATCACCAATAAGAAAATGAGGTGTTATTAATAGTGTCTTCCCTCCAGAATTTCTGAAATTTGGTTGAAATATTGTTGGAATTATTTCCTAAAACTATTTACTATTATGCATGAGAGGATTACTTAATAATGCAAGTTTTTTCCCCTAAGAACTGAAACAATAAGATACTAATTGATGTACCATCATTTATTAATACTGTCTTGAATAATTCAAGGTAGGAGTGATCTATTAAGACTGACTGAAGCAGGAATATACATGTGCATAAAGGATTACTGAAGAGAGAATAAAGCTTACTTATGGTAGTTCTACTTCTAGAAGCTAGATGCCCCCTCGCTGACATTCCAGAAATTAGTGCAGCCTGAACTTTTCTGGAGGGCCTTTGGAATATGATTGCTTGATATCAGTATTTTATCTCTTTTATTTTGTACTGTAATTGTTATTTTTTGTTTGGATTTTTTATGAAAGTATTCTGTGTTCTGGTGTTATTGGGGCTGTAGGTTTATTTTTTTTACTGTGGCCATTTTATTGTATTTTATATTGCAATCTGCTATGAGTCTAGATAATACAATCACACACAAATTAAATAAGTGTCAATTAGATTTCAGTAGGATTTATTCTTAGGCATGTATAACATCCTAGTATAAATTAAAACTACTGAAACAGGCAGGGGATGGGGGAATAATAAATAGAAAAGATAAGAGAAAAGCAGGCAAAAGCATTACCTGCAAGGGAGACAAACGAGGAAAAAACAGACAGGAAAACAATGGATAAAAACATATGAAGTATTTAAGAAAAAATGAATAAAATAGTTTTTGTTTACTTATGTTTTTGTGTGTGTTTGTAGTTCTGAACAGGAAAAATGCAAAATCTATAAAAGGTAAAGTTTTATACTATACTATTTTAATCCATTTTTTTGTTTTCTGTAATGGAAAGTAGTGTAATTTTGAACACAGTACCACAATGATTCTTATTACATATGCTGTTAACTTTTCTTGATCTGGATGCATAATAATTTGCATAGTTCTGTTCTACTTTAAAAAGGATTTCTACAAAATCTTTTTCTTCTCTTTTCGTAAGATTGATTGGTATTAAATGAAAGTTGTATCTAACCCAACATTTTAAATGTTTACAATACATTCTAAACAAACAACAAAATGTGATTCCCACAATTTAGAGGGAACAGTTAAAAAAAAATAGAAAAAAATTAAATCAGCAAGTAAATATTGTATTTAAATTAAGTGTTAGCAGTGTTCTTTTCATTTCTAAATCACTGCCAAAGTGGTAAAAGTACTATTGTAACTTTATTACACTTTCCTCTTTGACAAAATGATACTAAACTTAAAAAACACTCAAACATCAAAAAGCATTTAAACATGCTATATTTTACATATAAATATAACTTGTCCACCAACAATATATTAGACAAGGGAAAAATCCTGGAAGTTTTCTTATAAGAATATCAACATTAGATACAAGATGAGCCTGCACAAAGATGTAATAATGACTGGTGTTTTCCCTGAAACTGAAGAGTTCCCTCAGTCAGCATAATGGAATAAAACTTTAGTACATCTTATGATCAAATAGATACATTTCTGAAACATTAGGAGACTGATCTGGTATTCTACATCCAGTGTTCAGTTACTGAAACGCCTAATACATAGGACTTAAAAGTTCCTCTTACTCATCTT